ATAAAAGTACAAATAGCTTGTGATTTTCGTCATCGAATAGTGCATGTATCTGAATGTTACCATGGAAGTAAACATGATATTACAGTTCTTCGAGAATCAGGTCTATTAGAACATGTTGAAGAGTCTGTACAAATTATTGGTGACAAGGCGTATATCGGTGAAGAATATGTAGTCACTCCAAGAAAGAAACCTCATGGACGTGAATTAACACAAGAAGACAAAGATTTCAATCGCGATATCAATAGTGCAAGAGCAGCGATTGAAAATATTAATCAACGTCTCAAAAGTTATGCTATTCTTGGTGATGTTTACAGAGGATCTGTTCATGATTCTCATAAAATAACTAAAATCATACAGGTCATTGCTGCTTTATGTAATTTGAACTTAAATAAACATCCTATTCGTAGATAAACAAAATGATAAGTTGTATTTTCTTATTAACCATTTATGAAGCTATATACTCATCTTTGGTTATGTTTCAAACCTCTTAGTAGGAATGGCATAGGTTAACATAGACGATATGAAGCACGTTTAACACAATAAATACAAAGATGTACTTAATAATTCTCATTTATAGTGATATATATAAGTTATAATAGTGATAGATGAATAGCATTATATATGTAGTATAAGTGGTAAAAAAATCAGATTTTTCTTATGGGTAGATAAAAAAATCAATATTGGGGTATCAGTCAAGCTTGCAACCCCCTATATATATATGGAGTGTGAATATCTTTCGAATGATAATAAAACCATCGATATGGGCGTTGATCATGAATTGAAAATAAATCTTTCTCATAGAGATATTCGAGTGCTTGTACTTCATGAATTTCGTCTAAGTCACAAAGCAACGGAAGCAGCCAACAACATATGCAGCACGATGGGCGAGGATGTACTTTCCACTCGTACGGCACAACATCGGTTCAATCGTTTCAAGAACGGTAGTTTTGAACTCGACGATTTACCTCGCTCCAGTAGGCCAATGGAACTGGATGTGGATCTCTTAAAGCAGCTTATCGAAGAAGATCCTCGATTGACTTTACGGTGTTTAGCAGAGCAGCTTGGATGCTCTCATACTGCGGTGGAAAAACATCTGAACGGATTAGGCAAGACATGGAAATATGAAGTTTGGATACCCCACGAGTTATCCCCACATCAGCTTCAACACAGGGTTGATGCTTATATAGATTTAATGACGTCTCACAGTAACTACCAATGGCTCCGCAATCTTACCACTGGGGATGAGAAGTGGGTGTTGTACGTTAACTACACGCACAGACGTCAGTGGCCGAGCTCTGGTCAAACAGGCGTAGCAACACCTAAGAGTGATCCACATCCTAAGAAAGTAATCCTGAGCGTTTGGTGGTATGTCACTGGGATTATTCACTAGGAAATTCTTCCAAATGGTTGCACCATCACTGCTGATCTCTACTGTCAACAATTGGACCGGATTGCAGAAAAACTCAAGGGGAAACAAGATCAAATTTATTATTTGTATGATAACGCAAGACCCCATATTGCAAAGTCGACTCGCGAAAAAGTATTGAAGCTGGGATGGATAACCGTTCCTCATCCGCCTTATTCTCCTGACTTGGCTCCAACAGACTACCATTTGTTTCGTTCTCTTTCGAACCATTTACGAGAGAAAAAGTCCGACGACGAGAATGACGTCAAAATGGAACTCGTCAACTTCCTCGATCAAGAGTCCTAGGACTTCTACAAACGCGGAATTTTATTCTTGTCAGAATGTTGGCGACAAGTAATAGATGGCAGAGGTGCATATATAATTGAAAGCTAGTTGTACCGTTGGAGTTGAAACATAAAAATAAAATTTTTGAAAAAAAACGCAAAAACTTTGTTGACAATCCAATATCTTGTAAGATCTTTCATGAATCTAATAGTATGATCTGATGCAAGATTTCTTAGATGACGATTTTTTGTCACATTCTTGTAAGATTCCGCTCAGATTGCAAGATCTTACGTCAGATTTTCCGACCTGAGTAGTTATCAAAACTACCCAGATCAAAAAATCTGATAGTAAGTCTTGTACGATCATATGAAATCGTACAAAAAATCGTAGTCTCTGAAATCTTACATCAATTCTTACTGTAAGATTCTTGTCAGATCCTACCGTCCCATAAGTTTTTCTATAATCTTACAGTAAGATCTGGTAAGACAACAAGATCTGTCAAGAATTTTACAATAAGAATTGATGTAAGATTTCAGAGACTACGATTTTTTGTACGATTTGGTATGAATCGTACAAGATCATATATGATCAGACGCAGAATCTTGTCCGATCTTAGTGTCCAGTTGTTCGCCCTGGGTATAAATGAAATCTAAAATTATGATCTTTTACGACCGTATAAGATATTACAAGATTCCGATTATCAGGTGTTTCAAGAATCTTATAGGAAGAATCATGTAAGATTCACAGAATCATTTTATAGTCGGATAAATATTACACTTTACAGTAAGATATTTGTAGAATTTCTTAAGATCATACAGTATGAATGTTATGACACCCAATTGTCAGTGAGATCTTACACGATCTTCCTGAGGTTTTTCCACCTCGGTATAAGCCACAGAACATAATATAAATCATTTTTAAATACTATAAGACTTGTTGAATCTTAATGATAATGGCAAACACGAAACTATCAATTAAAACCAATCTTTTTTATTGAACAGACCAGATCGGAAAGGAAAGTTAAAATAATTTAATTGGCTTCTACTGAAGTCCATCGTCGTTTCAATTATTTATAGTTTATTCCCTAAATAAGAAATTAGTGAAGTATTGTGCTATACACATCAAACTCTATAAAAAAAAACACTGACTCAGCACTTGCTCTTTTCATGTTTCAACCATATCATAATATTGCAAGCAGAAGAAATATGAATTTATTAATCTGTGATGATGTTCAAATACCTGTTTCTGAACAAAGTGGCAGTTACAGAATACATAAAGACCATAATCTCAGACATCGATGCAAAATGAAAATGATTTCTAGAGATTATTTTTAATCGTGAATATTCGACATCTGTAGAATAATTTTTTATATAAAGACGGCAACTGACCAAGACTAATTTAATAGCAACTGTGAAGCTTAGCTTGAAAAACTGGAATTATCGGAACACAAGAGAAGCTCTGAGGCACAGGAATTATGACATATTTTTTCTATTTTCATGTCAATACACTTTATTATTGACAAGAAGGCGCTAAGTTTTCAAGTGTAAGGAATTTCATCAATTTCTCGGTAATTTCTAAAATTAATTACATTTTAGCGAGCAGGATCTTTTTGTAAATATAAAACTAATTTCAAATCTAGGTGCGATAAATATAGTCAGTTACGCATTTAGTGGAATTTCTTAGTAATGTTCGAAAGCACTTCGTAATTTCCAAAATCACTAATATTTTAAAGTATAAGATCTTCTTTTTCATATAGGCTTACAGCAATACGGCTTGTCCAAACGTAACGCTGTTACGTTTTTGATATACTCTTCTCCAACTTTCTCGAAAAGTTTAAGAGCTAGGAAGTTCGTTCAAACATCATTCGACGCAGCTTATCGAACTTCATTTATCATATAAAAATGACCTTTTTTGATTGAAGTCTCAGGTATCTAGAAATGTTTTATCATGGCGTAACGCTGTTACATAAAAGGACCCTTTTTTCCAGTGCCACTGAGAAAACTCTAATTTCTTGCGAAATCATTTCTTCAAATGCAATGCTCCAAGAATCACTTTTGTAGAGCATTGAATAGACTTTCAGGCAGTAAAAAAGATTTCCTCTAAAACATTTTTGTTCAAATAAAAAATGCAAAAGACAAACGTAACGCTGTTACATTTTTCGTAACGCTGTTACACAGTTTT